GACGAGGGCAAGACGGCCGTGTGGGCCGACCCCGTCCACGGGGCGCGGGCGCCCCTCGTCTGGGCCGCGCCGTCGGCTGGTACGTCATGGCGCTGCTCGAGGTCGCGGCGCTGCTGCCGCCGGCGCACCCGGCGCGGGAGAGGCTGCTGGGCTACTTCCGCGCCGTGGCGGGTGGGCTGCGGGCGGTGCAGGACGAGACGGGCGGCTGGTGGAATGTCATGAGCGAGCCGTACCCGGGCCGGCCGGGGAACTACATTGAGAGCTCGGCGAGCGTCATGTTCACGTTTGCGCTGTTGAAGGGACTGAGGCTTGGGATCCTGCCCAAGGAGGAGTTTACGGAGACGGCGGTCAAGGCGTACCGGGGCATGGTCGACATGTTTGTCACGGAGAATGACGATGGGACGCTGAACTGGGAGAAGACGGTCGAGGTGGGGAGTCTGGGGAGCAATGCCACGTTCGAGGTGAGTTTCTCGCAATTTCTTGCCTCTGCCTGGGATGGAGAGAGATGACTGACTTGTAACAGTACTATTCGAGCATCAAGCTGAGACAGAACGATCTGCGTGGAGGCGGCGTATTCATGTTGGCGGCCCTGGAGTGGGAGAGCCGGACGTGCTGAGGATCGATCATACGCTCACGTACTGACTAGATCGTGTGTATGCTAGAACATACGCAATATTTGCAGTCTATCATGAGAATGAGTTCGAGATTGCGAAACGGGGAGAGACCATAATCCTTCCTCTCAGACAATATCAGCGGATTCTTGGTGCAAGGTTAACCACTGCGCCCAAAGTCAGCGAGCCTTTATTGCATTGAGCTTGAATGGTGACATGAGCATCGTCAGCCGTGCCGAGCACTTGCACAAGAGATCGAAGACACAACGGCAAAGCAATGACTTGGAGACTAATCAATTCATACAACCGACAGCTATAGTTCCACCGCTTTTTAAACAATTGGATATCATCGCAGAACAAGTAACCACCACAAACTCAATGCAACTTCTCCTCCCCCTTGAGGCCCTCCTGCGTAACAGGCTGCGCGTCCTCCGAAGTGGTCCTCGCGCTATCGTCGCCCTGCAAGATGGCCCGATCATTGACGGACGCGACCTCGGCGGCATCCGCGTCATCTATCTCCTCGGGAAGCGTCAGGTTGAGCACCATGGTGATGACGGTAGTGACGGCAAAGCCAGTGTTCATGATGAGCTCAATGGCATCGAGGAAGCCACGCAGGCCCTTGTTGTCGCCGTCATATTTGAGAACGTTGTCGAAGTAGCCCGTCAGGAGGATACCGCCGTAGCCGAAGACAAAACCTGCGGTGAGGATGAAACGGCTGCGACGGTTGAAAACGACGCCCTTGTTGATAATGGCCATGCCAGACACGGCGACGGCAGCGAAGAGGAAGGTCGTCATGCCGCCGAGAACAGACGAGGGAATGGCGATCAGCGAAGCCGCAAATTTGGAGAAGATGCCCATGATGATGAGAAAGAAGCAGCAGCAGTAGCCGGCGGAGCGGTTGGCGCAGCGCGTCAGCGCGATGATGCCGTTGTTCTGGGCAAAGGTTGTGACTGGCGTGATGGTCATCAGGGCGGCGAGAATGCCGTTGATGCCGTCAGCGAGGACGCCACCCTGGATACGGGACTCGTATGTGTGGCCCTCAACCTCAAGGCGAGACACATCGCAGGTAGCCGTGATATCGCCAATGGCTTCGGTGGCGCTGAACCAGTCAGTACAAAGGTCAAGGAGAAGAACATCAGAAAGAACCTACCAGATAATGTAGACAGCAATCAGCGGTAGAACGAGAGGTCCATAGAGCGACAGCGGGAAGGTCTTGACCCAGACGAAGGACACGGCAGGGGCAGCATCAATGCCAGAGCGGTCAAAGTAGCCGGCGGCGGCAGCGATGATACAGCCGACAAGGAGGCCAATGATGACTGCGCAAGACTTCATAATCGGCGAACCAAACCTCTCCGCAGCGATAATGGCAACGAAAACGGACAGACCCAGGCCAAAGTACTCGGGCGAGCCCCAGGGAAGAGCATGGGGTGCAGCAATGTTGGGGCAGCTCGCGAAGAAGCCGACGGCAGTCGAGGGACTAGCACAGGGCCCAGAGCCGCCCATCCAGTTCTTGAAACCGCTCTCAATGAGCTTGACGCCGATGAGCAGGACAGTCGGGCCCGTGACGATGGGAGGGAAGATCTTGAGCATGATCTTGGGCGGCAGGAAAGAGATCAGGACGATGGTCAGGGCCGTGATGGCCGAAGTGCCAAGAATGGCGCCGTAGCCCTCGGGGCACGGCAGCCTGTTGCCGTCGGCGTCTGACGGGCAGAATCCGTTTGCGTACATCTGGCTCAGAGCTCCCTGCGCAACGGGGATGATGGAGAAGGAGATGCCGGCCACGGAGAGGAGACCAGTACCAATGTAGTAGCTTCAAGCTGTCAGCACGTGGTATGTTTTGTTATTTAAGACAGTAGTGGAACTCACCTGGTCTTGTAAATGTGAAACCTCGTGATCTGAATCATGGACAAGAAACCAGACACGATCAGAGCAGTGGAGACAAGGTACTGCTGCTGGCTTGTGGTCAAGTTTGCGCCAGCGGCACCGCTCATGAGGATGGGAGGTGTGATGACGCCCGCCAGCATACCCAGGGCGTGCTGAAAACCGAGAAGCAGGGCGAGGAGGGTGGGCATTTGGTCGTTGAGGCCGAAGAAGGGCGAGTTCTGGCGGCTCTTGCGCATGAAGGGGAGATTGGGTCGGAAGAGGAAGGCATAATCGTATGTGCCGACCAGGCCGTCCTTGGTGAAGAGGGCTCGCTTTGCGCCCCGGACGCGGTCGCCTATGGTTTTCTTGGGCGTGGTGCCCGGAACGATCTGGGCGGGACCCTGATCTTCGTCCATTGTGATATTGGTATTCCTCTCAGGCACTCTGCAGTCGATGAACAAGAAGGTTTGCGGAGCTGGATAGCGAAGAACAAAGAATCAGAGTCGATGTCAAGGCCAAATACAGCGTAGGGCTGCAGGTGGGCTTTGCTGGGCACGCGTGAGGGCTCCGGAAATATCTCTGGTGGGATGTCTTATCCAGAGAAGCGATGCGGGCATGACTCGGCGGGTAGAGTAACGATTTATGCCGGCAGCGTGTCACAGAGAACAGAGAACAAGGTGCTGGTTGGAGGGGCCGACCGTGAAGATGACGATCCCGGATCCAGATATATATGTAAATCTTGCGAGGAACGAGAGGCGAAAACTGGGCTACTGCGCGATCCGATCTATCACTGGAGTGACTGGGGCGCCATGACTGTCACTCTTAGATGATCGAGACACGGCGTCGAGCAATTAGCTTGCGCCGCTATCTGTCGGCACGAAAGATAAGGTGTGGCCGGCTCGCCTGAGTGGCCGCAACGGGCCCCAGGTTGCCCAGACCGGGCCAGTAGCGCGGGTCGAAGACGCCCCATCGTCGTCGAAAAGGGCGACTCGGCATGCTTGGCGGATAATCGAAGCTGGGGGGGGGGGGGGGGGGGGGGGGTTACTTCATACTGTGGCTCACAGAAGATCGGCTTCGAAATGCAATGCGGCCTGCCTTCTTGGGAAGAGATTGCCCTGAAGAAGGCCGTACCTGAGATCGGTGCGAACGTAGTGACAGGGGTACAGCTCTACGGCCGCCCAGCTGGTGGGAGGGAGCGGATGGAGCTCGGCGGAGGGTGCGGCTCAAGTTTGTTTATGCGGGGTGTATG